TTTCTTACAATTCTTATAAAGGTAAATTTGGCAAATTATGAAATTTGACAAACATTAATGGTATATTCCATTATATTCATTACATATAAAATGAAATATGCTTTTGTGCTCTGAAACACGGTTGTAGTTGAAATTCCGAGCAAAGTGTGACCTAGATATTCCCTGGTTGTTTTGCTTTAAAGTGACTGACATTCCAATTTCAGGCTAATTTATATGGAAGAATATTTAAATGAGACTTCAGCTTATGAGACTGTACACAATTACGTTAGATTCTAGGACACGTATCAGCAGTATTTATAGAGCACAGAGTGTCTGTTTTTATTTGGATACTTATTATAAAAAATCACATGAATAAATCCTCTATTCTTTGTGACCACTTGGTTGTGCTAAGGCACTATAAACTCTGTCTTGCTTTGGAACACATGAGCTGTTTAAAAGCTTTTGAGGATTCTGTGATCTTTCAAGTCATCTTTTTGGATGACCTAAATTAAACTGAAAAAAGCCAAGTCTTCATGTGGGCTCTGCTCCATCTCTCGTAATACAAAATAGATGGCTGTTTTCTACTGAAGTGCGATATGAAACAATAACTCTCAGGGCAAGTAACGGAAAGGACACAAAATCGTGCTGGCCTGCAGCTCGTATCTTTGTAATCTATGTCTGTCTTGTCAGTTTGGACAACATCCAACACAGGATATCACACCACAGGGCAGAAGCCTGGTCATTCTCATGCAATACCTTTCTGTTTCTTTGTACTGAATCATCAGTACCATTTAGAATTGGTTTGCGGTGAGTTGGGAGTGTAATAAGCAATGCATTTGTATTTTTTGAAAAAGTGAAATTTTCCCCAAATAAACCTCTATTCTTCCCTCAGGAAAAAAAAACTACTGCATTTCCTGTAACAAAGTTCTGTAACAAACTACAACGCAACCCTTTCACCTCCAGGCTGCTCGTCTGAAAAAACAAAAATCAGCTCAGCTCCATTTTGATTTGTCATTTGTCAAGAGCTGTGTAAGATGTTTGGGGTGTCACGTACAATCAGAATGACAGAGCTTTTTTATGTGCTTTGAAAAAAAAATCCCATTCCAAACTGAACATGTAAAAGAGTATAAAAAACTGTATGTTCACAAACAGTATCACAGTGCCTGACAGAACCTGATGGAGTTGTTACCAGGGACTGCCAGACATGTAGTGAGCATTCATAAAATCACAAAACGCCTAAAAAGGCAGACCTCAGACATGCTGTGCTTAATGAACACTTTTCAGGCCATTTTCTATTGTTCTTTGCTCTCATTGAAGTGAAGATAGTTTATTTCCTATTGGAGCCTATAGCTGAAGAAAAATAGTTTAACCCTTGTGGCACCTTTTACCTTATTTTGTGCTTAACAAGGACTAAAGGCTATAAATACAGAAAGGGTACTGCTATGCTGATTGAAGATAAATCTACAAGGCAAGCACAATTTACAAATATTTTTCAATCAGAAAATAGGATTGTTAGCACCCATGTTGTTCAGAGTTCACAAGGCATAGTTAACTACAATATAGCAAACGTTTTAAATGCAGAAGGTGGTGATGGCAATTCCAATTATGTGTTAATTCAAATATAAGCTCTGTGTTTCCAGACACTTATCACTTTTCATACAGTAACAGCAAAATAGCAGCTCAAACTCATATGTATCTATGGTGTATCCATACATGAGGATCCTGTTACTATTAAATAAAATAGATATGTGCAAATATATTATGAAGCTCAGTCATGCATACTGAATTACACTAAATTTGTATACAGGTGACTGAGGATGACAGGACATTCCCCACAGCTTTCAAGGAACGTAGTTCAGGTCAGAGCTGCTGTCTTGCTAGAACCTGCTGTGTTCAATTAATCAATTCATTATGGTTAATATGTTTTTGTGCTTTCTTTTGAAGCCATGTGGTTGAAGCTGATACCTTTCTTATTTCAAGAAATGTCTGGATAAGATCCTTGGGTCAATGGACTCCAAACTACCAAACAGGCTAGGTGGACCAAATATCCTCCTTTTGTCTGTAATCATTCTTACTGTATGTTTTTTTAAACCACTGTGACAGAGCAGATATTTATGTGCAGAGTTCATTTACACTTATGAGCTCACCAATTTCCATTTTAAGAAGTAAAACATATTAATAACTGAATTAGCTGCCCCACACAGGATTAACTACTGCTCCTGTCACAGCTATTTTGAAACCCATTTGTGTGTGCAATTAAAACCATATTAAGAGTAAAAAGTGAAGTCAAATACATTTTGGCTGTGTGTGCATGCAACATTCAGCGTCTTAATGTAGGGAAGCCTGCTGTCAGTACTACTGACCACAAAGTATTTACAACTACCCATTCAAACACCATGTTCAGCCAAACCAAGATGACTGTGTTTAAAGATCTAACCATTTGATAATCTGCAAGGGGGCCTCAACATGTCAAAATGCAAAGGCATAAGGTACTTTCCGTGAAATCACTATGTTAAGCTGCACCTGAAATTAAATACTACATATTTAATTTCACAGCACACAGCACAGGAAAGACAACTAAACTAAATTATCAGTACCACATAAAATGTACTGACAGTCTTCATTTGTTGCACATTAATAATAATAATAATATCTACTCCAACAATAGACACTTAGTACTTGTACTACCGTTGCAGTATCTTGTCAGCAAGATAACTCCGCTGATGCAAGATGAAATGGTTTGAGTCTTTATGATTAATGTTAAAGAAAAAATATAATGTCCTTAAACTCACCTTTGAACCAATTCTGTTTGTCAGTCAAAAATGCACACAATCTGTTTATTCCAAAACAAGACCTGAGCTTGCCCTTCTCACTTATCAGCCACATGGTCAACCAACTGATAGTTATGTACAGTACATGGCTGTCTGTTACATTTTTTCAGCTGGTAAATGAGAATTCCCAGCAATATTCTTTTGAACTCAATGGAGATGTATGCAGAAATCACAACTACAAATTATACAATCATTACGGTTACGAATGATAAAAACCAATGCCCAAAAGGCACTCAACATGCTTTGCTAAAGTGGGTTCTAGGGAAAATGTGATGTATTTTCCACGGAAGCATGTCATTGGTAAAAAGACAGACAGACATGTTTGGTTTAGCTAGGTGAACAATACAAATTTCTGGCTTCACCAAACATATAACTAACTGTATAATTTTATAACTAACATCACACAGTATGTTGAAGGTTTGTTTGCAGTATTAAATTAATTAGAGCAGTCAGGCTGAGTAGGGTGTGTATGGGGTTTACCTAACTGGTATAATAGTTAAGCATTATCAATGCAGAACTGTTGAGGGGGTTGCTATGATATCTGAGATAAAAGTATTTACATTTAATGCAGATTGATGCATTAATGCATATGAGATCTCAGATTTCTTTAGGAAGCACTTTTTCAGATATGTATTGCTCAATACATTTACCTTCTTAATACATGGCATACAAATAGGTACAGTATGTGTACAGTATATGTAAATGCCAGGCTAAGAAGCTTTACTGTATATGAAGTATGTATTTGAAGTGAAAAGTTTTGAGCAGCAACAAAGGTGCAGTTTGGTTTTATGGATTCCAAGTAATGATAAGATAAACGTCCTTCAAATGCCTAGGTGGCCTAACCATAATCTAAGATTACAAAGTACCAAAAATTGTCATATTATTCTGAGAGAAACACGCATTTTGAAACCTTGCATCTTCCAAAAAATCATTACTGCTGCCTTCAACCATCTTGAGAGTCTTTGTAGTATAAAAAAGAAGATTTCTCAAATACCAAAGCAGCCATCACACTTGCAGAAGTAGTGTATCAGCATGATAAATTGCAAAAACTGATATAATCAAGAAGCCAGAGCCCAAAACCCTTTATACACTTAATCATGCTGACAATTACCTTTCCACCTGGTATTATGCCTCTTAAACAAGAATCTTTTTGAACCTGTATGAAAAGCAAATCACCTGTACTGGAATATTAATATTAATATTCAAATCTGTGCATTTTCCAAGATCTTTTTGTAATGGCTTAAGTTTTAAAAACAAAAAAATGAGATTTAAGATGACTACAGGCGAAATATCCAATGGGAAAACAGTGTCCCATTTTAAATTACTACACAAATACTAAATTGGTACTACTTGTATGACAAAATGAAAGCAACTGCCATTTTCATGTGTTACTACTACAGGATCTAGGTTTAAGGCCCTGCTTCAATCACAGAGGTTTTGCTTTTATTATTTCAGTGGATTTCTTCAAAATGTCTTCCAACACATATGATTAAAAGAATTAAAAACCACAAACCCTTACGCTTTGGAGAAATTATTTTTTCATAAAATATGCTGTACCGATCATCTGCATAGAGGTACGTATCACACAATAGCAATAGATTTGAACTGCACCTTATTACACAACAGTTTCCATCATTTTAACTCCTATTTTTTTTCAACAGAATGATACACGTCCCCAAATATAATACGAAAAAATAAGTAGTTACAGCAATGAAGAGTTTGCCCACAATCTCAGTGGCTAAATTTAGCAAGGACTGAGAAACAGCAACAACAACAAAAAAAAAAAACTTCAAAACAAGCTCTCTTGTTCCCGCTGTAAAGTGAGAATGATCTTTAAAACCAAAGGCCATATCTTTCAAGTTCTTTTTTCCACCTGTGCCACACAATTAAACAATGAAAAAGGAGAAAACACCAAAACATGGAGGTTTGACCTCAGAAAAGGGACAAAAAATACTGGCTCCGAAAGACGTATCAATCAATAACCACACCACATGTCATGCCAACACACCTAGTAACAGTCAATCAAATAAATGGTACCTTCATGAGATATCAACTGATCCATCAAATACACTTGGCTTTTAAGAGTGATGCGCTTTTGGTAGTTTTCCCTTATTTCGCGGGGGTTTGATTTCGGCTTTGAACTGGCCCTTACTATTGTCTCTCACAGAGGGTGTTGAGCGACTTACTCACCTCCATCTTCCATTTGGCCAGCCACTCATCCCTCTTCCTCTTGCTAATGTAATAAGGGTCCCCAGCCTGGAAGGTTATTCTCTGCATAGGCCTCTGACGTAGGCTGGTTTCCCAGCCCAGTCCCCCACGAAGCCTGGCTCGAGTTCCCTGCTCAAAGGGATAAAAAGAACACGGGAAAACAACATAAATGAGCTGCTGAGTAGTGTTTTCCCCTTACCGAAAAAGAAAGCTGACTATTCCAAACACAGCTGGAATTGCCATCGGCAAATGGTAATGCCAGGGTCTGAAAAGTGCCAAACTAGTGGAATGAGCGCATGTGTGGCTAAGTGAAGCATCTCCTCTTTACGAGGTGTTCACTCTCGGGAAGGAAGCGAACTCTTGCACATGCGGCTAAGCATCAAGAAGAAGCCATGAATGCCCACACAGCCATTAAAACTGAATGCATGGTGACCTTTTCTAATGCCACTCACTCATCAATAAGCAGACCTAGCTATTTTCTTCCATTTTGTGTTTTTCCTAACTGTCAGATGAATCCACTGATTAATCTTAATGCCTCTGATGAGAAAACCAAGTGTATTTGATATTTGCAATTTATATACCACTCAGTACCATTTATTTCAAAATGCACATTCATCGAAGGACCGAAGAACTCTTCTGCAAGGAGGAAATCAGCAGAAACTCCACATAACGATCTTGGAACCTCTCCTTATCAAGACAATCCGCTGTTGGTCTTCCACATTTCTTGCACAGACACTTTGTTTTCCAAGCCTGTGGATGTCAGTGAATGAAGTCTCTTATACAGTATATCTAAGGTAAGATATACGCCTTGACCAAGTGCTGAAATGCTTATAGCCTGCAAAGAAACTGGAAGCATATAAAACACACTTTCTTTGTAGCAGCTAATGTAGTATGAATATTTGCAAATAGATACAATTACTTGTAATTTTCATTTTAGGCACTCATCCTTGAGCAATAGCAGGTTTGTTAAAAGACTGAAAATGGGTCTCACCCATGAACTTTGAATATACAGTTATCTCTTTTGTTAGTGAAACAAGGTTAATTTTTAATTCACAGGTCTGAACGAGCCCTTTGGTATCAAATGAGGCATGAAGAAGTTTAATTCAGTCTTGCACTGAATGAGTAAAATAAAAAAATGAGGTGTGCTACGATTTAAAAGTAGCCGTTCAAATGGGAAACTGAAGTAAAGAACTGAATTAAAAAGTGGGCACAGGCAACTATTGCATTCATGTTTACAGATATTTGTGAATGACGATGCAACAGGACAATCATATAATTTCTTTAGAAGGTCTGGCTTACAGTTGCAAGCAAGAAAGGAGTCTTCTCCAAAAAGGAGTCTGTTCATACGAAAGTACGAAAGAACAAAAGTACAGCACTTGTAAAGAAAAAAAGCATACACAAGTCGGGGCATTATTCAGAATCCCCTGCCAGATTAAGATCTTTTGCTGATTAAACTGAAATCTTTCCACCACCTTTTTAGACTACAGTAGCAAACAGCTACAAACAGCTTGCTTTGCTATACCCATGCTTCTCCAGGGTACTCTTCTCCTACCTGTGCACCTCCATGTTTTTGTCTGGTAACCGGGGGATGCAGCGCTGAGAAGTCAAAGGTTACAGTATATACAGAGCCATTCAAAGCAACACAATATATCAGATCTTTTGCCTGCGTTTTTAAAATGAAGAAACACATTTAGATTAAAATGTCTTTTAAAGCTATGGAAGTGATATGGTAGAAGATCAAAAACTACCAAGTTGAAAGTTAATACCTCATTTAAAACGTCAGACCCAAGGTAATCAGAATGGAACAACCAGGATCAGGATGTTTCTTTGCTTTGTTTTCCGGCACATAACTGCTCCTGGGGTTTCCCAAGGCACGTTTGTTCTGACTACTGGAAAACTACCACACAAATGCCTCAGTCTATTTCAACAGAAAGCATTTCCCAAAATCAATATTTTATACCACATTCATAAAGAAAGTGGAATATACAGTAGGATTTAACATTCATTTCATTGTGTTAATATGACATATGTATTATATAAAATACAGACTGTAGATCTTTTTACCACAAATATGACAGCTCAAAGTATTCAGCTCTTAACCCTTTTAATGAAATGTCTATCCATGTTTTCTAAAGCTTTCTCCATGTAACTATAAGGCTAAAAGAAAGATAAAGTTCTATAATCAATAATCAGAAAAAAAACCTTTGAAAATCTTAAAACCACAGCAGTCTGCGCTCTGAAACAAGTGACCATATCCAGCACAAAATATCATAACAATACTAAAATTTCATAATGCCATTCAAAGAAACCGGTGTAGTCTAAAAATATGTACACAAACAATATAAAACACTTTCTAAATGTAGCATTAAAGCAGAAATTCTTACTGATACAACTGTCATTTACTGCGCTCAGCATATGCATGCTAATTAAACAAAGACAACCACCAAATAAACAGTGTACACAATTATTCAATTTTCTGGAATTGGGAGCCTTTTCAGTACAATATTAATGACATTTAAGAATACCGTAGTCTTCCAAAACCATACGACAAATCAAATTAAAACTTTATTAATTAACAGCCAAAATGCATGTGCAGAAATAGTACAATGAATGAGAACCTAGTTCATAGACTAGTCATTATAATAATTTGCTTCCATGGTATCTGCTTCTTTTTAATCTGAACCCAACAAGCTCTTTGATACACACCCAAAATACTGCATATGAACCACTGATTACTACAAGACTTTCAACTATGAGTCTGCTCCAGAGTTACCTCCTGATGCAAACAAATGCTGTATTTAGGATTTATTGAATTCTCAGGGACAAACTACTGTATTTCCCACAGCAATGACTAAAATCACACTTTATTGAGTGAGAGGTTGACAACCTCAGCATTAGCAAATTAGATAGCCATACAGTATGGCAGTGCTTACCCGCCAGGTATTTCTGTTACAGCCTAAGATAAAAAGATTGTTGAAGAACTTTTTTGGGGAGTGACTGCTCTTTCATTTTCATAACCATGTTAATTATTTTAGGTGTCTGGAAACAACTGAAATAAAATGTATGGCATTTGAACTTGAATTTGAATTCCAATAAAGAACAATAAAAGACATCTGCAAGATCTGTTCATACATACGTTCATTTTTTGTATGTACTGTATGTGTATACAGTATGTATACGTATGTACTGCTCACAAAAAATAGTGGATTTTTAGGTAATATTGCACAATGCTTCAAACCACAAATACAAATTTGCACAGTATAAAAGATAAAAAAGTCATTCTTCACTTCACATATAGCATGTGGAAACAGGAAAATCAAGCAAAAGGCCATGACAAGAAGCAAAAATACAATGTGGTTCTTGATGATTTTTGATGCAGTTTTACACAGCTGTGACTTGACCCTGTCAAATGTGGAGATTATTTCTGACAGCACTAACAATGCTGTCTATAAGGAATGACGACGAGCTATTTTGGAGGCCTATAACATTTTTCCGAATAACACCTCAGCCTAGCACAACCTTATCTGATCCCTGACTTATCTGGGAACAATAGGAGTCTAAGAGACCATACACCACTGTTGTTACAGTCTTCACCTGCCTACTTGAAGTCATGGGTAGTCATGTACAGTTGGTGGCCTCTGCAAGTTCCAACAAGTAGATGATTTTAAAATGTCCCCTTTAAGCTCATTTTAGATGTTGTTTTAGAGGTCTAGTGCCTGCAGTGTGTTCTGTGGAACGCCCACTAAAGACTCTTCCAGTGTGTTATAACCAGAACTAGAAGCAGCTGATCACTAACAATAACTGGTTGTGAATCTCCATATCTATGCCTTAAAGCATTTTGAAAGATCTTCACCTATTGTTCTCCCTTAGTCTTTGCATCTTCATTACAACAAAAGTGATTCAATAAACACACAATAACCATTCTATCACACCCATATGCCTTATGCCATAAAAATCTCTATATGAAGTGCCCATCTGTTTTCAGCCCTTAATTACCAGTTCTATCCAATGTCATGTCAATGTTTTTTTGGGGGGACTTTGACCTTTGACTTTTTGTGAGCAGTATACTGTATATACATAAACATAAGTCCTTAAGCATTCAAATGAGGTTTCTGAAACCTAGTGGACTGTTCCAACATGCTCCATACTGTACATCCCTGACGACAGTCATCTTGACTGACAACCTTTTGCAAGATCATCTACATCAGGCCCTGAATATTGCAGGTTCCCCCTCTTTTTACTTATGTAAACAGCATCTGGACAAAAGCTTCTGGACACAAAATTGTAAATGGATCTTGAAGAGTCAGAGAGGGGACTGATACAGCACAACAAAATGAGAGCCTTACCTCTGTTTTGACTGTCTCACAGCTGCTCTCGTCTTGCTCCTCTGTGTCTGAAAGAAAAGAATGGACATTCAGAATGACTGATTACTGCAGTTACATGTTTGCCAACAAATAGTGTGATCTGTTTATAATTAAAACCACCCATTTGTGAGCCAGCTAGAACTGATTATAGCTGCACCAAACACCCTCTCTTCTAAGAACTAAATACGACTCGTGTGGGACATACTATAAATCATGTGTAGACAACCTCTCTAGGAAAAGTCCAAACCAATTGGAAATATGGTACAAAATTCTGTTCTGTATTAACACTAGAAATATTTAACAAAAACTAAAAAACATTTACACTCTATTCTACCGAGAACAAAACATGTGGTTTGTGTTTTGAATAATATCTGGATACTAACATTAAAACAGAACTACATATTGGTTGAAAACAAGTTTCAGTTTAAAAAAAATCAAATTCACCGCAGGCAAATAACCCAGCATGTATTTATCTGAACAGCCAGAATTAAAAAAAATCTTGTTTTCTAGGAACACTCATCACTGAGGCACTCAAATAAATATGTGAAAAGAAAGACACTTGATTTTGTTTCATATTAACTGGATAACAGAAAATATAAGAAATGTATGTCTTATCTTTATGAATCTCTAATCATAAAGGTCTAGGTTATTTTATAAAGGCCTCTTTAACTCTGCACCATTTGGAGATTCCTCTATCTCTACAATTTCAGGAATTATGGAAACAGACATTTCAAACTCAAAACCTACGAGTTAAAGTAAAATGACTTTACAAATTCAAAGCTTTTTCCTGGCCTGGAACAGTTTTACCATACCATGAAACAAACCTATCATCTAAATGTTCACATGTAAAAAATATTTAAAATAATATGTTAATTTGAGACAATAATAAATCAATTAATTTTTATTTTTCAGCCGGAATTAAAACAAGACAACTCTTTCAGCTTCATGGAGCGATTCTGAAACTTTGTCCTAAAATTTAGAATGCACGGTTTTCATATAAAGTGACCACATACTTGTATAAAATGTATATTCATATCGGTTCCTATCTATAACTTGAACATAACATTAAAGCCATTTAGAGTTACAGATAGTGTGTTTAAAAAAACTGTTTTCCATCCATCCATTTTCTCACCACTTCTTCCAATTCAGGGCTGCAGGGGAGCCAGAATCTACGTATTTCAGCAAGCAGCAGGTACAAGGCAGGTTAGAACCCTAGACAGGACACCACTCCATCGCAGGGCTCACCCAGGCACAAACATGCACACACTCACACCAGGGGCAATCTTCCACGAACCTAATTAGCCTACTTGTACGTCTTTGGACTACTGGAGGGAACTAGGGCACACAGGGAAAACCCATGCGAACATGGGGAGAAGATACAAACTCCACGCTGACAGCACCCCAGGTCTGAAATTTAACCTAGGTCTCCATTGCTGAGAGGCAGCAAAGTTAACCACTGCATCATAAATGCACTAAGTAAAACTATATTCCTATATTCTTCAAATCTGACAGTACTTTCATTTAAGATGGCTAATGATGGACACATTGATGGACACAGGGTAAGAATTCTTCTAAAACATCATCAGAGTGGATGAAATCAGTACTCACATCGGCTTGAACAGTTTTATGAATTCCAAATTAAAATTAAGTTTGCATTCAGCTAATGAATTAAGCATATTTTACAATATAGCGTTTGTGTCCAATTGTGACTTAGCATATACTTTGTTAAAGTCATTATCAGAAAGAATCTGGAAAGATCTCAAGTAAATTTAAGGACTCACACAGATCAAATTAATTAAAATGGTATGACTGGGGATGGGGTGAGTGAAGTTGAGTTTTTAACTGAGGTTAACATTTGCACTTCCCAGCTTGATTATTTTATTAAGAGTGTTTGAATATATATTGTTGCACAGTATTTACATTGGCATCCTTGGACGAGGAGAACAGAGATTTTCAATCTTTTCCTTTTTTCTAACAGGACTAGGAATCATCATTATAAAAAGGTGTGATGTCTTCTTTATTTTAGGGAGGGTCTGGTATTTTATTGTGGAATAATCAGGCTAAAAACACCTCTCCTGTGATAGAAAAGCATGAGTAAAATAGAGAAATTGGCTCACATTCAGTTGTGGGCCTCAGTGCTTGAGAGTAGGAGATTTAATCCTGGGTAGGATCCATTTTTTTTAGGACTAAGGTTTTCTCTCTGAGCTGTGACAGAAAATAAGAAGTATGTAGAGTATGACCTGCCCTTTATTTTGTTATAGTAATATAAAAATTGCCTGTCAACACACCTTGCTTTTGCAATGCATAGAATTAAGCAAAGACATTTACTCTGCATAAAAACGGCCCATGCCCTGTTGTACAACTAATGTGATGCACCACCACTTTCAATACATCAGAAGAACACTGACTATATTATTGTGACTTACAGAATTTACAGCAATTTTATAATTTTGTCTGTCAAGATGATTTAAAATATTTCTATGCAAATGTAGTTCAGGTGGGTAGCTGCGTCAGCATGCGTAGGCTGCAAAGGAACAAGTAATAGGTTTATTCCATGCTGAAAAAAGGAAGAAAGAAAACACAACGTTTCGGCCGTGGAGCCTTCTTCAGGTTTCTGTATACAGTATACAGCCTTCTTCAGGTGTCTGAAGAAGGCTCCACGGCCGAAACGTTGTGTTTTCTTTCTTCCTTTTTTCAGCATGGAATAAACCTATTACTTGTTCCATTCTATGCATATGCAGACTTTTTGCTTGGCTTGTACAGTGGCTTGCATTTCTTCAACAGAAGAGCTCATCTGTAGTGATTCAGATAGGAACACAAGAGGAAAGTACACATGCTTCAGCACTCAACCATGTGTACTATCCTCCTAAAAGGTGTATAGAAAGTGATGTCTGATAAACATCTCTCTCACCATAATAAATACCAAAGCCCACCGACTGGGATACTGGAACAGTGGAATTACTATATACTGTATACTGTATATTTTTCATTATTTTATACTATTATTTATCATTCTCCAGGGGCAAAATCAGTTATAAAGGCAAAACAAATCAACCTGTAGCTCTATAACAAAACATGATTTTATTATATATAACCTGCCACATTGAAATTGTAATAGTTCCCTTAAGGACTTGACTCAGAGCATCAACACATATGATATCTCTTTTGAACCGCCCACCCATCAAGTCATTCATTTTTTAACATTCATTCTGCGGTGACTTATGGGAGTTGCGATTTCACTAGGAGCCTAGAGAGCTCACCCAACCCACTGAGACCACTGAGACAGTCGTGTGTCACTACCTGGGGAATCCCAGCCACAGTCAGCTAGCATCATGACTTAGTCACAAACACATTTGGATCACAGATCTCAACTTTACTAGTCACAGGCAAGCTCAGATAGGAACATTATTTGGAAGACAGGCAACATCCACCTGGTGGCCTTGGATACGGTTCACCACATTGCAAAAAAAACAGCAAACATGTGGGGACCTCATGCATACTGACACGCTGCCAGATCACCCAGACGACATCCTGCACCTCCAGCAACTTTATTTATCTCCTGCAAAAAATGCCCAGCTATCTACAGTAAGTTGGGGAAACTGGAAGGAGACTAGGAAACAGCTTCAGAGAACATGTTCGGGCTCTGAATATGAAAGATTTCTCAAACCCCATAGTTTCTCATTTCACCTCAGACGGCCATGATCACACTGATCTCTCTGTCTCTGTTCTCAAAGAAGGGTTCCTTATCTCCCATAGCAGAAAAACAACAGAAGCAAAACTCATCTTGAAACTATGTTCACACCATCTCCCTTATCTCAATGACTGACTTATTTTCATGTAATCTTCTCTGTTCTCATGCAGGATTTGACCTCACACCTTCCTTCACCCCTCTCCACTTTGCACTTCCTGAGTGGCCTCTCTGCCTCTCCTGCCTCCTCCCCTCTCCCAGCTTTTGTTCTCCTACAATATTTAATCTTTGCTGTCTGCCCTGTCTTTCGCACACCTTAAGAAGGCTTCACAGCCGAAACATTGTGTCGTCTCCTTTCATCATAGAATAAATCTAATACTTTGCAGACTATGCATGCTGACGCAGCTACCCACCTGAACTACGTCATGTAATGTAGCAAAGTTGCCAATCGTCAGCAGGTGTGGGCATGTCACCACTTGCTTTTGAGGATCACTTGTTTGCTCAAGTGATGGCAAGATAAAATGACAATTCCCTGTGTCCTATGCCTAAGGCATTCAGGTACAGTGCCTCCAGAACCAGACATCCAGCCTTCAGTGGCACCCTGAGTTTCTGTGATGTACTTGTGTGGGGCTAGTTCCCGTCTCTAATCCCTTTCCAAATTATTTCTTGCATGGACCTTCGAGTTTATACAGGAACACTAAGTACACTACTTTCAAGTAGATCTCCCTGCAAATGTGTAGTGTGCATGTTTCATATGTCTCGTGTAGAAGGGCATACTGTACATCTCAATTCAGACTACATTTGCAGCCACAGTCACAGCAGGTCACATGCTTCATGCTTCTTCAGAAGACCCCTTTTCTATTTTTCTAGACCTCGATACCATAGCTACTATACTAATCCCACCTGGGATTGATGCTTTCATTATAACACACCCCTTTAGGAGAGATACTGTAAAACTCTTCCTCTTCTCCCCTGATCCTTATCCAGGGAGGTAAGGCAGGCCAGCCATGTTCTTCATTGGTAACTGCTCCTTGTCTGCTCCAGGGACTCCTTTCCAGCTGTGCTAGAACATAGGCCCCTCTCTCTCATTTTTCCTTCTTCTCTCTCAGCTACTTCTGCAATCGGGAGCAAAGCCATCTTCGTTCTTTCACGGAGAGAAGGGTCTCTACTCATGGCTAAAGTCTCTTGTCAATTGACATCATAATCTGGCCAGGCAAAAGTAGATGAGTGCAGTGGGACTATACACACAGCTGAGGGCTGTTCTTTTGCTGATATTCCTATGGCTGTTAGCCTTCACGACCCTGCATTGAAGCAGCACCTTCTCCTGGAAACAGATCTTCC